TGAGTACTTCAGCTTTTTCCACATCGTCTGTCACTATGTTGCCTCCCCCATTCAGTAAGGGTCCCACACTTTCCCCGACCTTCTTCTTTATATATGTAGTTCCATATTTGAATTACACATCTACCGTAAATATGCAGTTCCATATTTGAAGTCCATTCTTTCCCCCTTTACTCAGCACAGCTAGCATCTCAGTAAGCAGCAATGGATCTCTCTTTTGGATCACTCCTGAGATGTTGATTTAAGATTTATTGATTGTTACTAATACTTTGTCACGTGCACTCTGTCTAGTCCCTGAGTAACTGCTTCCTTTCTAGCTTCTTTATTGTCTGTCCCTAGTTACGGTCTCTTCCAACGGAGTACTTCTAAGATTGTTGCTACTTTATAGTATCTATATCAGAAGAGGGACTGAGATGTAATATACAGATGTGGAGCCAATCATCCTTTAAATTTGGGAGAATTAGCAAACAGAGTTTTCATTCATGCCCATCCATAATACATCACTTCACTTTTAAGAACTTTAGAGATGCCATTTATTGCTTAAAAGCATGAAGTGATTCCAACTTTGTACAGCATTACGGTTTTACTTGCGAGTAACATGGTCCTCAAAATTCAGTGAAAAGCTAAGGCTTCCAGGAGAACATGTACCATGATGAAACCATATTAAAGTAAACCGCACACATGGCATATAAAGTATCCACCATTCTCAGGTGCATTTTTGTCCTGTTTATTTTTAATCCCTCTGGTTTGAGAGCTCTGTGTCTTTAGCTAAAAATGTAAATATTCTGGAATAGCTCCACTAAGTCCAAACCACATAAGAACAACATGTATTACCTGTGTCCAATATGTTTGGTATGAACTAGATTTAACCTGCTTGGGACAGGAATTCCTAGTTGCTACCAAAACATCAATCACATTGATGAGAAATCACAATCATAATGCTAGCAGCTTTTTTTAAGGCAGGTTATTAATTTATATTTGTGACAGTCACAAAAATTTCAGATACAATTATTACATTTCAGTGCTCCAGTGCTCCTTCTATCCCCACATTTAATCTTTTGTTCCAACTAAAGCTGTGTAAAAAGAAATAGACTATTTATTTATTTATTGGAATATTGCAGCTTGTATTCCAAAACAAAAACATGAAATTGAAATAAAAAGGAAGTTCTTTCCCAAATACTTTTAAAGGTTTTTCATGCGACTATTGTGCCTGTAAAAGGTGTTGGATTAACATGTTTGGAAACCCAAGTCCTCATTTCCTCAAAGAGTTCAGTACAGACTTCCCCATAAAGTCCTCTTCAATTAGCCATAACTCTCATCTGGAAAGACCATACCTAGAAGGTCTCAGTGTATTTCAGTCTCCAAGCCCACTATCTTTTCTGAGACTGTCAGTAGTTATGACAATTAGTTCCAATTGGAATGGTGGCCATTAACACGGATGCTGATTAGGATGATGAGACAGCAAATGTGAAAAATCGGAACAATGGGTAGGGAGTAATAGAAACCTATATAAGAAAAAGACCCAAAAATCGGGACTGTCCCTATAAAATTGGGACATCTGGTCACCCTAATGCTGATCCACTAGGAAATAGACTGTAACCACTAGTTCCCTTCCGGACTTGCAAAATACAATGCGATTTGGCATACAATGAAGCCACAGGTATTTTTCAGAATGCACAGCTTGAAAACAAAGCCACACATTTGTCAGAGAAAGGAAGATAGCAGGGGGTTTGTTACCACAGCAAAGACAAACACTACAGACAAGTTCTATCTCCATGGCCCTGTATAAACTGGGAAAATGCATCATGTTAAAACATATGTTTAACTAGCACAATGTTAAACATGTTTTGGCCCTTTGTGAGTTTAACATGGACCTACTAAGATGCTTTTAAATACAATTGTTCCTGTCCCTACCTACTCATATTTAACTGAATGCTAAATTAAAATGCATTAGTCAAAACATTTTCTAACACAATATACTTTCTGAGTATAAATAGGCCCTATATTTCAAACTACAAGCCCAATCTTACTGCTTAAATATGAAGACAATTCCTGTTCATCTATGGTATCAAAATAACAGTAACCCATCACTGAACAAATTAATCAGTCATGTTCCATAAAGAATTTTTTTCCCCTTTATGAAATATCTAAGTAAATTGTTAAACACAAAAACTATTATTTTAATCTCTACAGTTTATCAATCTACCATGAATCATTATCACAAGAGTAACTAGATGGTATGATTCAGTGAGAAGGAGGATGGTCCAATTGCTTAGGTCATTAGCCTGGGAGATGGGAGACCCAGGTAAAATTCCCTGCTCCACCACAGGATTCCTTTGTGACTTTAGGTAAGTCACTTAGTCCCTCTGGCTCAATGCTGAAAGGGGGTCAACAAGCATGCGGACAAAGGAGATCCAGTGGATATAATGTATTTAGATTTTCAGAAAGCCTTTGACAAGGTCCCTCACCAAAGGCTCTTAAGCAAAGTGAGCTGCCATGGGATAAGAGGGAAGGTTCTCTCATGGATTGGTAACTAGTTAAAACATAGGAAACAAAGGGTAGGAATAAATGGTCAGTTTTCAGAATGGAGAGAGGTAAATAGTGGTGTCCCCCAGGGATCTGTACTGGGCCCAGTCCTATTTAACATATTCATAAATGATCTGGAAAAAGGGGTAAGCAGTGAGGTGGCAAAATTTGCAGATGATACAAAACTACTCAAGATAGCTAAGTCCCAGGCAGACTGCGAAGAGCTACAAAAGGATCTCACAAAACTGGGTGACTGGGCAACAAAATGGCAGATGAAATTTAATGATAAATGCAAAGTAATGCACATTGGAAAACATAATCCTAACTATACATATAAAATGATGGGGTCTAAATTAACTGTTACCACTCAAGAAAGAGATCTTGGAGTCATTGTGGATAGTTCTCTGAAAACATCCACTCAATGTGCAGCAGCAGTCAAAAAAGCGAACAGAATGTTGGGAATCATTAAGAAAGGGATAGATAATAAGACAAAAAATATCATATTGCCTCTATATAAATCCGTGGTATGCCCACATCTTGAATACTGCGTGCAGATGTGGTCGCCGCATCTCAAAAAAGATATATTGGAATTGGAAAATGTTCAGAAAGGGGCAAAAAAAATGATTAGGGGTATGGAACAGCTTCCATATGAGGAGAGATTAATAAGACTGGGACTTTTCAGCTTGGAAAAGAGACGACTAAGGGGGGATATGATAGAGGTCTATAAAATCATAACTGGTGTGGAGAAAGTAAATAAGGAAGTGCTATTTACTCCTTCTCATAACACAAGAACTAGGGGTCACCAAATGAAATTAATAGGCAGCAGGTTTAAAACAAACAAAAGGAAGCATTTTTTCACACAACGCAGAGTCAACCTGTGGAACTCCTTGCCAGAGGATGTTGTGAAGGCCTAGACTATAACAGGGTTCAAAAAAGAACTAGATAAATTCATGGAGGATAGGTCCATCAATAGCTATTAGCCAGGATGGGCAGGGATGATGTCCCTAGCCTCTGTTTGCCAGAAACTGGGAATGGGCGACAGGGAATGGATCACTTGATGATTACCTGTTCTGTTCGTTCCCTCTGGGGCACCTGGCATTGGCCGCTGATACTGGGCTAGATGGACCTTTGGTCTGACCCTGTATGGCCATTGTTATGGTTCTTATCCATGGACCAGTGCCGGTCCCCGAGATTTCCCTGACAGAACTTAGGAAGGCAACAAGCTGGTCCCTGTTATCAAAAAGGCTGAGAAACACTGCGCTAGATCATCTTCCTCTAAGCACGTGTTTAAACCCATTCTTATTCAGCAAGGTGCTGCAGTCCTGCTGAGGTCAAAGGGAATTAAACATGTGCTTAAGTGCTTTGCTAAACAGGGATGGGCTTAGGCGCATACTTTGCTGAATCAGCATCTTACTGTCCTGTTTGA